GATAAGGATAAAATATCGTTTACGGCGTGTAAGCGTAAAAATGAAATTTTGATCAATCGTAATAAAAAGTTAATTTTAATGTTAATTTACTCGACTGTATCTTCAGAATACATAGAATATCTAATTTTAATATTAGAAGTATGTGCTGACTTTTACTCTTGTATGTATTACTGGTATGTACTAGTATAAATCGAGAAAAAATACTATTAATAACATTAAAGTAATTAATATTATAGAGTATTAGATATTGTTTTTATTTTAGTTATTGAATCATCGCTATAATATTTTTATGATAAAATCCTACCTAGAAACCTCTTGATATAAATATATATTTCGTCGAAAATGAGAAGATTTATAAATGCTTGTTTAATATTTACATGAACGTTTACAAGAATTCATTGAGAATTTAGGAACGGCCATTTGAATGTTCGTAAAAAACGGAAATTGCATCTTTGCAGCGTTTGGAAAGCATTTTCTGACGATAATAATAAGTTTCATAAATGTTCGTTTTACGCGCGCGATTATATAAACGGTGAGTTCAATTGTTGTGCCTGCTGAACGCAAACATTTTACCAAAAAAAAGGTACAAAATTTTTCATTGTGGATTTTTCATTCTCATCATATCGCGCTTTTTATCCTTTTTGTTTTTTAAATGCGGTATAGTTTTCTAAATGCGAAGATTTGAATTTGATTTTGTCCCTCTAGTGGCGATGTGCACTGTTTGATAATTGCATATGTAGAAGGATGTTTTCTAAACGAAGGCAAAACACTTGTTATATGTTTAAGGGAAACGTTTTTTAGGGGTCATTAAGAGCCGTTTGCGTAAAAGTCTTAGTTAAAAGTAGTTTTCCAGAAATCTTTTTAAATGTAGCAATAGCAAAAAAATTTTATTAATTGTGCTAATGTCTGTGACAACTGTAGAGGCGTCTTATTTAAAATTAAAAATAAGGTAAATTCTGATATATACAATGACGACGATGCGCTATGCGATTTAGTTATGATATCAATTGAAAAGAAATTGATCTAGTTCTTTTCAATTAAAAATGGTTTATTTTAATTGAGCCCTCTCATTTTCATATATTTTTTTAGAATAAAGAATTTATATCATTTAGGTTGAATTAAAAAGTTACACATATGTATGTTAGTATATCATTATTTTTTAATATAAATATACTAGATTATTGTTACTGTGATATTTCACAGAATAAGTATAAAGATGTTAGCATTTGTATTTCATTTTTATTTAATTTAAAAATATTATTATTTTGGTTTTATTAACTAAAAAACATAAAAAATGGTTATTATTTTTTTTTTTTAAAAGTAGGACAAATTTTATTGTTAATTTGGAAAGCCAAACTTGATTGAACCTCATATCTTCCAAACTTTTGCTTGTATGTATAATAATTTTTTAATAATAAATATTCTAAACATTGCATTATTAGTTTACGGATCTTAATATTTGCGATTTTTTGATTGGTAGCCACTGTCAACCAATTAACAAGTGAAATCCATTTGCGGTGCTGATTAGAGTAGTGTATAAGGGCTGCAATATGCAGTGTGTACTGCCAATGAGTAACGCTGTAAAATATTTTATTACTTTTAAGAAAGAAGATAATGAAAAAGTGACAAATTGTTACATTTCGTTTGAGTGATGAAAGTTACTTTTATGAAATAATGTTGACAACCCTGTGTATATATATAAAAAAATATATATATATACACATATCTGTTCGTTTTGTCACAGTTATTTCCAAGATTTTGACGTGGTTAGTTGTCAGCAAACAATTTACAATTTAACCGAAATAATCTTTATCACTACATCAAAGTCGTAAGTATTGTATGTAAGTTATTATATCATCAAAATTTTAGTTTTTAAATCTAACTCAGTTTTTAAATTATTTTTCAATCTAATCGTCATTCTTAATTTTATAAATTTCTCTTTTAAAACTTAGTCTACCTTTGACATATTGATTAATTTTTTTTTTAATTTTCGTGACTGCAATAATTTTATTATAACTTTATTGCCTGTAATCCTTGTCCATTATCAAACAGATTATAATTATATAACTATATAACAGATTATAACTATTGCCGATTGCATATTAAATATTTTAATTTTCACTTAACACATTTCAAATTATGATTTAATACCATTGTACGGTTTATTCTAAATCTTCTTTCATACTTAATATCTATTTATACAAGATGTTGCTTTCAACCTTGATGGTTTCTTATTTATATGTTCCTATTCCTGCTCAATGTTCGTTTGAATTACATTTAACTATTTTAACGTCTCATATTTTTAATCTAACATTAGAGTGAAGATGATAGCTGAGTTAAAACAAACAAACTGACAAAGATTTTATTACAGTTTTTATTGTTAAAGTGAATTCAATATCCACTAAACAATACACATTGATAATTCTATATCTAAATGGTGAATATATCGGCTGTTTTATATATTGTTATAACAATGTATTCACCTGTCATTTCAAGTGTTTTAAGTTGTTTAATGAAAAAAGTACTTATATGTTAACCGCAATCTTCCGTTATAAAATTTCTTCAATAAAAGTTTTTGTTTTTAAGGAATTATATGTCCTTACAGTTTTTTATATAAAAAATAAATAACCTTAAAAATATACACTTTCATAAAAATTGAGACTGTGAAAATTATAAAAAGAATTTAGGAAACGTTACAATTAATTTAACCGAGAATATGCCCGCAGAGAATTGAATTTGAAAAAAAAAGAGAAACATTCAATCTCAAGTTTCGCAATATTTGAATTGATAGT